GTTCAAATAAAATAAAAACCCAGTCAACTATGGACCTGCTGGAACAGCACGCCACCAAGCAGAGCACCAGGAAAAGATTGTTGTTAGGAAAAGTTTTTCTTCATTTCTTTGAGGAAAAAACATCTTTGTGAATTAATCGATGACTTATTCATCGTCCATGGACCCGTAAGGCTTCATGTAATCTCTCACGCTGATGAAAAAAACATAAAGTTCACAAAAAACAACAATGCAGAAACGTCCATGTAGTAGCCTGAGTGCAGCTGTGAATGAAACGTTTGCTCTGTGTGTGTCAGGATGGTCACAGTGTCCTGGGATAAGAAGATGGTGGCCTGGGACCTGGAGACCGGACTCACTCTGGTAACGTCTGCCGTCACGCTCCTGGAGTTTCAAACCAGCAACCTTCCTGTGATTCGCTGCACACATTTCTCTGCGCTGGGTTCAGAGCACGTGTTTCTGCTCTTTCACACACATGGAATAAATTTGGTCTTTTTGCTTTTCTGAGTTTGACTCATTTTTATGATCTTTGTCGCAGTGGAAATTGAGGCAGCTCGGCCTGCTGACCTCCTGCAGCTCCTCGTCCGACGGCCGGCTGGTCGTTTGTGCTGTAAATCCTCAGAATGGCGTTTCCGTCTGCGACGCCGCCAGCGGACAGATGTTGCACCACGTCAGCGGTAGGACAGGTCAATGTTGCCCGGTCGGCAATAATACTCCTGTGAGCGTCAGTGAGCGTGTGTTTGCTTTGATCAGATCTTCACCGCTCCTGCATCACTCGATGTCGGTTCGACCCTCAGAGCCAGCGAGTGGCCACCGTCTCTGCAGACCGCAGCATCAAACTGTGGGACCTGCGGGCGCAGAAAACCACCGTGTCCATCGACAGGTGAAGCATTTCAGTGACCTGTAAATGCTCTGAGCTCCTCTCACGCTGTGTGGCTTTTGTCTTCAGTGTGAGACGGTACAAAATTATTCATCCAAAACACTCTGAAGTCTCAGATATTTATCAGATTCACAAAAGTTTGATGACAATTTTCAGGCCCTCAGAGGAGCCCCCTGTGCACTTGTTCTTGTTTACATTCTCGCAATCAGTAACCATGGAAACGTCGTCTCAGCCTGCTGCTTCACCAGCAACGGGCACTTCCTGTGCACGGCGTCGTGGGACAAGACGCTGAAGCTGTGGGACCTGCAGGCGGGGGGGTTCCGATCTCACGGCGGGACGCCGCTGCAGGGAGGCCACGCAGGCAGCGTGAGTGCCTGCTGCCTCGCCGCTGCTGACGGTGAGACCTCTGAGCAAGGCACATTCCTGTTCAGGTGTCCTCAGCTGACGTCCTCAGATTCTCCAGTAACATTTGTGCTGAACTACCAGCAAGAGGCGGAGTTTGATTCGATGAACACTTTCTAGATCCACGTATGGACAAAAGAGTTCTTTTAATGTGTATTTTTAACTATTTATTTATGCATTAGGATGTTAGCTAATAATGAAAATGAACAAAGCTCGTCGTGTGCTGTAAGCATGTTTTCTGCCCTCATTAAGAAGCAGACCTCTAAAGGATCAGAGGTCAGGTGGTTTAGACCTCTGGTGGTTGCACAGCTTAAGATTTGTAAGAAATGTCAGCACCTTAGCGTCCGTCATGCTGTTTACTATGTTTAGAAAGCAAGCACTGCTCACTGATGAGCTGATGTGTTTTTCTGCAGGTACTGGAACATGCTCAGTTCTTCCTCATAATGTTTGCCTAATAAAATCACTTCCTGTTGTGTTTCCTCAGCGAACCTCCTGGTGTCCGCCTCCTACGACAGGACTGTTGCTCTCTGGGATTTGTCGTCTCTCTCTCAGACTCTCGTGCTGAAGGTGATTAAACTCGGCTGTGTGAAGACATCCTGATGTTTCTGGTCGTGTTCTTTTAGACACTTAACTCCTGATTTTGCTTTTTCCCCCATCAGGGCCACAGTGATTGGGTGACAGATGTGTCAGTGAGTGCTGACAGGAAGTTGGTGGCTTCTTCCTCCAAGGTTCACAAGTATTTTCCCTCACAGTCCCGGCCCGAAGTTTTTGCTCCTTGAGCTTTTCTTTCTTTCTTTTTTTGTCCTGTCTTTCTCCCCTCACCCTCACCGTGCTCACCATCTCTGACCCTGGGTCTGCTGGAGGTTTCTTCCTGTGAAAATGTAGTTTTTCCTTCCCACTGTCACCAAAGTGCTTGTTCACAGGGGGGTTTCTCTGTTTTATTGCAGGGTCTGGATGTTACAATATCATTGGTACCCTGGATGTTTAATCTGTTTTCTGATAATTCACCAGAGAAATGTTAAAAAGCATTTTATGGAAATTTGGAAAGCAAACAGTGTTTAGTCTCCTGCATCTCACCTAAGACATCCTGTAACCAGGTACAGGACAAACAGACGTAGCCAGGAT